TGGTTTGTTTTTGTTTTTTTTTTTTTTTTTCTTTTTTTCTGTGTTATAGTGTAAAATGTTGAACGGGTGATCCGGAGATGAATAAATTAATGCGGTTGTGTGTGCAAAGCTATATGGATAATGAGAATTGGAAAGAGATTAAAAGATAATGGGAAAGAAAAATTAGAGAAAAGAAAGAATAAACAATATATGAAATCAAAATGAAAGATGGAAATAGGAAAGTGGATGAGAAAATAATAAAAATAATGGAGTGTGAAATCAAACGGAGAGAGATAAATTTTGGGGTTTTTTTTTTTTTTTTTTTTTTTTAATAAAAAAGAGATATATATATATATATATATATATAAAATAAAGAAAGTGGGAAAGTGGCGGTGGATGCAAAGTGAGTTGGAAAGTGAAAAGATGAGAGAGAGGAGGCATGTGGGTGGAGAATAAAGAAAGTTGGAAAGTGAAAAGATGAGAGAGAGAAGGCATGTGGGTGGTTGTCCATTGTGGAGGACAAACATAGTGGGTTATATTATATTCAGAAAGTGGGCGGTGAGATGAGAGAGATCGAGACAAAAGAGATTAGAGCTCTGTTCTGTAATGGGTCTTCTTTTGTCAAAGGGCTGACACTGCAGGCCAAGTGGCCTAAGCTCCAATGGAAAAGAACAGGTTGGCTTGGTCTGCCTCAGTCAGTGAAGACATCCTGGTGCAAATCATAAAATGACCTGTAATCGTATGGAGAAAAGGAATGAATCAAAACGGAGCTGAGATACACTATATATATGTGCGTGTTGCTGAGAGGAGAGGGCCTCCCTCCCGTCGTCAATGGAGGTTTCGGGGAGAGAGAGAGAACTTCTGCTACGCTGCTACCCTTGCCGACCCCGAGATCTCCACGCCGATTTTTGTCTTTGAATCTTCTGGGTTTTGCGTTCTGTGCCCTGGAATATGCTTCCGCGTTATCTACTCAAGACCGCTCAAGGTCACCCTATGTTGGTGGAGCTGAAAAATGGGGAGACATATAATGGGCATTTGGTTAACTGTGAATATACATCTCCGTGAAGTCATCTGTACCTCTAAGGATGGAGATCGATTTTGGCGAATGCCTGAATGCTATATACGCGGAAATACAATCAAGTATCTTCGAGTTCCTGATGAGGTGATTGATAAAGCCACCTGGTGTAGGGCGTGGAAGAGGAAGAGGTAGAGAGGACAGCACCAGTGGTGGGCGACCAGCAAAGGGCATGGGTGGCCGCGGTCTAGATGATGGAGGTACTAAGGGGATGGGTGTGAATCAGGTCTGTTTGAGATTTGATTATGTAACAGGTTAGGGTCCGGCGGGCGGTGAAGGCAAGGTTGCCGCCCGCCGGAAGGTGAAGCTCACCAAGAGCTAACCTATCGCTCTGATACCATGTAAAAAAATATATGTATTATTGATTAATATTGATTGATATTCTGTCTATTACAAATGGTTCCTTATATAGGTGTAGGTGTAGTGGATGGTGGTAGTGGTGTAGTGGGTTAGGTTTAGTGGAGTAGGTGAGGTGGTAGTGGTGTAGTGGGTTAGGTTTGGTGGAGTAGATGAGGTGGTAGTGGTGGTAGGTGATGGTAAATTCTAGCAGCCCCCCGCAAACTCAAGGAGGATAGAAACTAACCAACTTGAGTTTGAAGAGAGAAACAAAACAAGAAAATACATAAAAATAAAAAAAGGAGAGGAGACACTGTATGGTCGTGTCAGACCGTTGGACGAAGAACGTTCATAAAAAACTTAACCTTGTCAATGTGAGTAGTCAGCTACAATAAGTACTGAAGGAAATCCAACTTCCATTCGTGTTTCAATTGCAGTCACACAGTTTTTAAATGTAAATGCAAAACACAATGTGTTTCACCCCTCACAAGGTGAGACGTAAGCCTCAAGAGGTTGAGGCGTAAGCATTTTGAATTTTCATATTTAGTAAATAAATAAAATATTTTAAAATCAAAAAAAAATATTACTAATTAAAAATAAAGGTATAAATACATTTCTTCTCGAGACGTCAAACATTTCAGTGCAAAGAAGAAAGCCTGCCCTCATCGAAGGTGAAAACGACATTCTTAGTTTCAATTATTGAGTTTACGGAGTCTTGTCGGACCCTTGTAGAAACTAACCGGAATCTATGTCGGGACAGTTTACAGAGTCTTGTCGGACCCATAAAGGAGCTAACCGGTATCAAATGTCGGGACAGTTTATAGAGTCTTGTCGGACCCTTGGAAAAGTGGCATCCTCAAAAGGTGTGCCCAATTTTGTCAAAAGGCGTGCCATCAAAAGACGTGCCCAATTCATCAAAAGGTGTGCCGGACATAATGGCGAGGCACGTGGGCGCCTTGGTTTGCGTGCCCGTTTGTCGGCAAGAGGCGCGCGATGCGCGTGGCTGCCTCGGCTATATAACCAAGGTTGAGGCATAGGCTGTGCAAACCAGTCTGAAACCGCCGAAAATCCTTTGAAAAAAAAAACTCTTCCGTTTCTGAGAAAGAGATTCTGGAACACTCTGTTGCCATTCTGTCACCAACCCTTCCGAACATTACCAGTCTGAAATTGCTATTTCGCTGAAACACTTAGCAACCCAAAAAACATGGCCTCGTCTTCCCGTCCAGCTACCCAGAACCTGCTCACGCTCTTTCCAGAACTGAACGAGCCCACAGGAGAAATAACTGGTGCGGTGTCCAGTGAACCGCAACCAAACACCTCTGGTTTTGCTCCATTGAACTTTCCGATGCGGTCGGTGGAGCAAAAAATGGCGGTGCAGTCGGATGTGGAGGCCAATCAGTATACTTTGAAGGCATGTGTGGAAAGCATGACGGCGGTCACAAATTTGTCGAACCGGCTGCAGAGTAGAACAAATGAGGTGCAGCATTTAAACGCCCAACTGGCTCTGCTCCAACGCATTCAAGAAATATCAATATGTGCCTTAAAAATACACAATCATTTTTGATGAATCATTATTTTTTAATAATACTCCACGTTCTTAATCATTTAAAATTGGTTAATTTAATTGGCCTTTTGGTGGCAAGATATTTGAAGGCAGCTGGACCGGCAGCGGACCCCTTATGGTTCTACCTCCATATTGTTGTTCAACTCTCAGGCTACATAATCGGCTTGGTAGGAGGTGCAACTGGGTTTCTTCTTCTCAGCAAATCTTCTGGCATTCATCACCCTTGCCATCTAGGCATTGGGATTATACTTTTTTCCCTTGGACTACTTTAGGTATTACAGCACTTTGCTCCACAAATCTGTTAACAGAATATATATATATAACAATTTCAGATTGTTTGTTTGTTCTTCTTAATTCTTATTATTAATTATTTTATAATTAGTATGTGCCTATCATGCTAACAAATCTTTGTTTTTGTGTTTAGGTCTCTGCTCTACTTCTGCGACCTAGAAAGGACCACAAGTATAGGTATCTCTGGAATTTGTTCCACCATAACACGAGATACACAGTCATTCTCTTGAGATTCTTCAACATATGGTTAGGATTCAGCATTTTGAAGCCCGCGAAAAAATGGATGATTGCATATGGTGTTGTGTACGGGGCATTGATATTATCTGCATTCCTCCTTGAAGTGTGGAAGAAGTTTGCAAGAGATAGGACTGGTGGAGCACATGAAGAAGTCAATAAATCTGCAAGTACAAGTCCCATAAATAATGTGTAAAATTTCTACATATATGTAATTGAGAATTGACCAAGAGAAAAGACACCTAACTATTGATGCTACTTACACTATTACTTTGTTTTGGATGTTTGATTGTTGAGTGGGGGACTAAATGTAGCTATTAATGATACTACATTTTTTAAAGCTGTTAATGATACCACATTTTTAAATCTTATTAAGGTTGTCTAGGGCCTATATTTTATTGTGATCACTTTAGTTGTCATGCCTTAAGATTTTCTTCACAAAAATAGGGATTTTAAATGGGAGTGTATCCATTGAATGTGCTTTTTGCAGATAAAATAGGATGTGCTATTAGCTTTTCGGTGTAAACCCTCCTATGGAGCAACACACTAGAAGATCTTGTAGCTGGTAGTAAAGAGGTAAAGATAGTGATTTAGTGAATGACATAGGCAGTTGTGGAGGTTTGAATTGGTTGAGCTCCGGCGGGCGGTCAAGGCAAGGTTGCCGCCCGCCGGAAGGCGATGAACACCAAGATCTTTAACCTTGCTCTGATACCATGTTAAAAAATGTTAAAAAATACTGTATTATTGATTGATATTTGTTTGTTGTATATTGTCTATTACAAAATGGTTCCTTATATAGATGTAGGTGTAGTGGATGGTGTGTAGTGGATGGTGATAGTGGTGTAGTGGGTTAGGTTTAGTGGAGTAGGTGAGGTGGTAGTGGTGTGTAGTTGATGGTAAATTCTAACACTAATAAAAGCTTTGATTTGTGTCATCTGACCCTATCTTAGAATATCTCTTGGAACCTTTCTGATTATAATAGAACCGCAACACCCGTGGGCACAGACTTACTTTTGGGGTGAACCATGTAAATTTTGTGTTTTTGTGTGTGCGTGTGATTTTCAACTGTTGTGTGTTTTTTGTTCTTCTTTGTTTTCATGTTTCACAGATTTTGGGTGAAAATACATTTAATATAACAGCTAGGCAAAAGGATGGATAGGGGAGATACCTTTGAAGCATAAAGAAAGAAGTGTTAATAGGATGAGGATAGGATTGGTAGGGACGGGGATCATCTTAAAAGAAGAAATCTGAGGTTGCTGTTATGTTATAGATTAGCTATATATAATATATTTCAGGGCTGGTGCTTATTGTTGAGTTTTGTACTTTTGTGGACGTGTTTCTCGTTATTTAATTGGTGTTTATCTAATTTCATTGGTGAAGAAACCAGTTGTGCTTGTGGCTTTGCAAAGCTAACTGATGAACCTACATGGAGAGTTGATCCTCGTTATGAAACAACTAGCTTTGTGCAAATCAAGGATGCATTTGTCGAGTCATTAAGACAATCGCACTGAATTTGAAATCAATGAGAGCTTAAAGCTTTTAAGTTCCCTTGTTTACTGTAGAAAAGGAACAAGCAATTGGGCATTCTGATTCCATCAAATTGGTTTTCATATTTTGAATGTCTTCCATCAAATCCAACAAATTTATGTCTAGTAAATTGAATCCCAAACACAAAAACATTCAAAACATGGAGGGATTTCTTTGCCTGTTGGAAGCAATTGAATCGCATGAAGTGAGGCTTTCTCAAAGTTTTCATATTTGTATGCTATGGTCGTTGGATTGGATTCCCTTGTTTCGAGCACTTGCTGGGGGTGACATAACAGATTCAATTGCTACCTTTGCTTCCAAATTGACCACATTACAGCCAAAGGAATTGCACTCCATATCAGCCTCTCGTTCTTCTTCAGCTTCACCCCTGCCCACCATAGAAGCAAATTTTCAACTGATCCAGGTAGAGCACCTTGGACACCCCACTAATTTAGCATTTCAGTCCAAACCTTCCACACAAAAGGGCAAAACAGAAGTACATGGCTCACTGATTCAGTCTCTTGGCTGCAAAAAGCACATTCAATGGATACACTCCCATTTAAAATCCCTATTTTTGTGAAGAAAATCTCAAGGCATGACAACTAAAGTGATCACAATAAAATATAGGCCCTAGACAACCTTAATAGCATTAAAAAATGTGGTATCATTAACAGCTTTAAAAATTGTATAGTGTAAGTAGTATCAATACTTAGGTGTCTTTTCTCTTGGTCAATTCTCAATTACATATATGTAGAAATTTTACACACTATTTACGGGACTTGTACTTGCAGATTTATTGACTTCTTCATGTGCTCCACCAGTCCTTCTATCTCTTGCAAACTTCTTCCACACTTCAAGGAGGAATGCAGATAATATCAATGCCCCGAACACAACACCATATGCGATCATCCATTCTTTCGCGGGCTTCAAAATGCTGAATCCTAACCATATGTTGAAGAAGCTCAAGAGAATGACTGCGTATCCCGTGTTATGGTGGAACAAATTCCAGAGATACCTATACTTGTGGTCCTTTCTAGGTCGCAGAAGTAGAGCAGAGACCTAAACACAAAAACAAAGATTTGTTAGCATGATAGGAACATACTAATTGTAAAATAATAATAATAAGAATTAAGAAGAACAAACAAACAATCTGAAATTGTTATATATATTCTGATAACAGATTTGTGGAGCAAAGTGCTGTAATACCTGAAGTAGTCCAAGGGAAAAAAGTATAATCCCAATGCCTAGATGGCAAGGGTGATGAATGCCAGAAGATTTGCTGAGAAGAAGAAACCCAGTTGCACCTCCTGCCAAGCCGATTATATAGGCTGAGAGTTGAACAACAATATGGAGGTAGAACCATAAGGGGTCCGCTGCCGGTCCAACCGCCTTCAAATATCTTGCCACCAAAAGGCCAATTGGCATCATAATGCCCCAGCTAATTGTGTTGAGTACACCATGTGACTGTTAAATTTGAAAATCATTCACCATTAGAGCATTGTTGAAGGGTAAATCTAAATTAATTGCAGTAAAGCCATTGAGATACTAAAACAAAGCCCTAAAACAGGACCTAAACCCCCCTGGTTTGACACTCCCCTGTTTTGACTAGATTTGGTTTTTATCTATGTTATGTAGCAAGCATTTTAAACTCATCTAGGAAAGTTAGTTACAAGGTAAACTTTACAATGGATAGAAAAAAATGCGTGTACCCATTTATATCCTCAAAGAGGGTCAGATCAAACAATCAGATTAAAACAACCAAAAAGCATTAAATTAAATTTGTATTTGTAATTCGAAAATAAATCAGGAGAGCATGCATGAAACAATGGTTCAGGTCAGGGCAACAGCAAACAGAATGAAGCAAAAATAAGAAAGATAATATTAAAAATAAGGATGACATGACATAGTTTCAAAGAGATTGAATTACATACAATCTTGAGTTTGGTTTTCGAATCCGATCCGTGAGAAGTTAAGGCCTGTCCAGATAAAAGATTGAGAGTTCCCATGGATTGAAGATGATGTCCAGATAGATCGTGAATGCCAAGATGGTTGCCAGTTATGGGTCCATCTTGCCACACATGGTTGATAGTAGAACTGTTGCTGGGAAGGTGTATCGTTGCAAAGATAATGATCTCGTCATTAGAAAACGAGGCAGACAAATCAGAAACAGGGAAACTTAAGTTCCCCTCTTGCAGTTGAGTCGCATAGCTATCGACAGACGAGGTGTAGACGGCCATGTTTCCATCTGTGTTCTGATATGCAATGATCGCCTGAGTACCCACCATCTTGTTTGGCTTGGGGTTGATGCCCCATGCAACCCATGTGGAGGGACTGACATGACTGTGACGGTACGCCATGTTGAGAGTTGTTGATGATGGGTTGTGACTCCAGTAGAGAAAGGAGTTGAGTGCGGACAGATTGGTGCAAGACGTGAAGACTTTGTTGTTGGGGAACATGAAATCGGAACATGAATCAGCAGCCGCAGAGAACAAGAAGAACATCAGAACAGCAATCAAAAGCTTCATGGTCATGGTGTCTTGAACAAGTGAGTAATAGAAAACAGAATGTATATTTGTTTTGACGATGAGAAGAGTTTGGAGGGTGAGGGTTCTATTTATAATGATTGAATCCTAATTCTTTCATGAGTCCCAATTCTCTCATGAAACCGACAAGTGTGAGGTTCAAGAAATTAGTGGGACACGGTTTTATAAATTGACGTTATTACCATACTAATCAGACCTAGACCTAGAATTTCTCTTTTACATGACTTCTACTGAACCTAGAAAGCTTTTGTAAGATTTCCTAATCAGTCCTAGAATTTCTCTTTGCATACACTTGTACTAAAAAGAAGTAGAGTCCTAATTTGGACCCAATTCAATTTCTCTTTGCATACACCCCTGCGCACCCCTTCTTCAACTACCTCATCTTTCACAGTCCACATTAATCCAACCATAACTGTATTCAACCCAAGACAAGTCTATGCACAGCCAGAGCAAGTAGGAGTCCAAGTATCAAAACCCACAATTTGGAAACAGAAATTGAACCAGAGAAGAGGAGAGAAGGATTATGATAGGGACCCTGTGTTTGCTGAAATTCTTGGGAGCTGTCTTGATGAATACTGCTGAATTCTTTGAAAAATGTTGTGGTTTATGAGTTTTGGGACAATTATTTATGTTGTTTAATTGTTAACTTTGGAATTTTGGGATAATTCATGGGAGTTGTCTTGATGATATTGGAAAAGTATATTTTAGACATTTTATGAATACATATATCGAGTTTAATGATTAAAATATTATTTTTTGGTCAATTTTCTTTAACAAAAATAGACAGAATTTAAATTTAAAAAAAATCAAAAAATTAAGATTTAAATCGACAAAATTAAAAATTCATGATTTATTTTGTTACAAGACTCAAACTTTAAGAAATTTATGTAATTGTCCCTAAATAAAAAATAAAAAAAGCGGCTAAGGTCAAATCCATTCCAATTGTCTTAATGCCTCCACAAATGCATCCCTAATTTGCACAAAGTAAGTTGTTTCATCATGTGGATCAACTCTCCATGTTGGTTCATCTGTTAGCTTTGTCGCTGGAAGCATCTATTAAATGGCACATGGTTCTGCATTGACAGGGCTCACCAATGAAATGAGATAAATAGCGATTAAATAACAAGAAACACATCCGCAAAAGTATCAAACTCAACACTAAGCACCAAACCAACCCTGAAATATATTATATACAGCTAACCTTGGATTTCTTTTTTTAGATCCTCCCCATCCCTTCAAATTCTACCCTCATCCTACTGATACTCTTTTTTTTTTTTTTTTTTTTTGGGTAGGGAAATTTTTTTAAATTTTTTTTTTTTTTTTTTTTTTTTTTTTTTGTGGTAAGGTAAATTTTATAGAACAAACCGAATTGTACAAACTTGCTACTTCTTTCTGCATTTTTTTAAGCATGTGTGTAATGCATATTATAGCAACCACAACAGAAGAAATGAATCTCTGAATGCCTTCATATCAACATATATGCAGGTTGATTCCTTCCCCAAGGAAAAGCTTAAAGTCTGTGAAAAAGAATATGATGTGTAAGTTTGGTAGAGACAGAGAGACAGAGAGACTGAATGAAGCGTGTTTGTTATATTCAGTATATTGTTTACAAGGTGATGATTCTCATTTATAGAGAGGAGAACCGAAAGAAGAAATAGACAACATAATTAAAGATATGCACTATGTAGACATAATAATGAAAGTGTTGTGTCTTTACATCCTTTACAGCTTACAGCTAATGTATATAAATATATACTAACATCCCCCCGCAAACTCAAGGAGGGTAGGCACCCACCAAGTTGAGTTTGGAAACGAGATCACTGAAGCGCCCAGGAGGATGAGCCTTGGTGAAAATATCAGCAGGTTGATCGGCAAAAGCAATAGGGAGAAGAAGAACAGTACCACGTGTAACATGCTGTCGAATGAATTGACAATCAATCTCAATATGCTTGGTGCAATCATGAAAAAATCATTGTGAGCAATCTGAATGGCACTCTGATTGTCACAATAGAGAGAGGTAGCGCCAGAAGAAGAAACACCCATATTAGCAAGGAGCCAGCAAAGCCAGAAAAGTTCTTGAGTAGTATCAGCAAGAGCTCGGTATTCAGCTTCGGTACCAGAGCGGACAATGAGGGATTATTTCTTGCTGCGCCAAGTAAGAAGAGAATCCCCTAAGAAGAAACAGAAACCCGTGGTGGAGCGTCGATCCGTAGGATCCCCAGCCCAATTAGCATCAGAAAAGGCACACAGTTCAAGAGAGGAGGAAGCAGAGTAGTGAAGGCCATGGAACGGAGTACCTTTCAGGTAGCAAAGGATGCGGAGTAGAGCAGTATAGTGGGGAGTGCGAGGAGCCGACATGTACTGACTAACAATGTGAACAGCATAGGCAATATCAAGATGAGTCACAGTGAGATAGACAAGACTACCGACTAGCTGGCGATAAAGAGTAGCATCAGAGAGGAGATCCCTATCGAGAGGAGTGAGACGAATCTGAGGATCAACTGGAGTAGAGGTAGTTTTGCAATCGGTAAGACCAGCATGGGCCAGAAGATCGGATGCATATTTGGCCTGAGACAAATAGGAACCAGTAGAATCATGGGGACTTCAAGGCCTAAGAAGTAGTTAAGAGTACCAAGGTCCATCTCAAACTGATGGTGGAGAAAATGTTTGAGGTGAACAACTGCATCATTACCAGTGATAATCATATCATCCACATAAAGAAGGAGAATAGTAGTACCATGAGAAGTAGTCCATATAAATAAAGCAGAGTCATAGGAGCTAGAGGTGAACCCGAAGTCATGAATGGTAGAACTAAACTTAGCAAACCCAGCGCGGGGTGCCTGCTTGAGACCATAGAGAGCACGCTGTAGTTTGCAAACCTTATGAATGGGATAAGTAGACCCAGGTGAAGGTTACAGGTAGACCTCCTCAAGAAGATTACCATTAAGGAAGGCATTCTTGACATCCATCTGAAAGAGCTCCCAGTGAAGAGCAGTAACAACAGCAAGCAAACTGCGAACAGAGGTAAGTCAAGCAACATGAGAGAAGGTCTCCTCATAATCAATGTCATATTCCTAGTTGAAACCCTTGGTAACAAGACGAGCTTTGTAGCGCTTAATAGAGCCATCAGAATGAGTCTTGATTTTGTAGACCCATTTGCAGCCAGTTGCAGTCTTGTCAGGAGGAAGATCAACAACATCCCAAGTATGAGTTTTGTCCAAAGCCTGAAGTTCATCAGTCATAGCTTGCTACCAAAGAGGATTAGTACAAGTCTCACGATAGGAGGTAGGTTCATAAATAGAAAAGGCAGCAGACCCAACAATATAATCACGAAGATGAATAGGTGGTTGAGTTACCCGGTGTGGCTGACTCGTGGAAGGATCGGTAGGGGGAAGAGTTGGCGAAGAAGAAGGAGACGAACTAGAAGGTGCAAGGAGAGGTGGACCATCAGAGAGAACAGTCTAGCCGGGATCAGGGATCAACAAGGGCGTCTCGATGAAGGAGGAACCTGTATCAAAGTTATTAGAGAAGAGATCAAGGGAAGGATTAGTAAAGATGACCAGAGTGGAGAGTGCGGGTAAGTGAAAGGAGGAGAGAGAGGAAAACTGTTTGTGCTCCCAGAAAACTACATGGCGGGAGATACGAAGACGCTTAGAGAGAGGATCCCAACAGTGAAAGCCTTTATGTTCAATCAATCACATATCCAAGAAAGCAGCAAAGATGAGAACGAGGTTCAAGCTTGGTGTGTTCATGGGATTGAAACAGAACAAAGCAGGCAGAGCCAAAAACCCGAAGATTGGTGTATGGAGGAGGAGTGCCGTTCAAAGGGAGTTTAATTATGGATGATAGGGGAAGGAACACAATTGATAGTGTACATAGCAGTAAGGGCAGTTTCCCCCCAAAAGTTTTCAAGGCAGGAAGACGAGAGAAGGAGAGCGCGAGTAGTGTCAAGAATATGTCTATGTTTCCGTTCAGCACGTCCATTTTGTTGGGACGTGCCAGAACAGGAACGATGAGGTTGAGTACCGTGACTCTGAAGAAAGGAAAGGAAATCGGTATCTCGATATTCCATAGCATTGTCAGAGCGAAAAATTTTAATGGTTTTGGAAAATTGGGTGTGGACCATTTTGGCAAAGCTATAATAAAGATGTTTAAGTTCAGACCGAGTTTTTATGAGAAAAATCCAAATAAACCATAAATAATCATCAATAAAAACAACAAAATAACGAGATCCCCCCATGGTAGTAGTAGGGGATGAGCCCCAAATATCCAAATGTATGAGATCAAAAGGAGCACGGGAAATAGAAGTACTTTTATTGAAAGATAAAGCAGGTTGTTTTGCAAGTTGACAGGGTATACAATCAAAAGTATCTTGAAGTACATGACCCAATTGACAACTAGAAACCAAAGACTTAAGCGACTAACAGAAAGATGTCCTAAGCGACAATGCCAAAGATGAAAATGAGATAAAAAGAAAGCAGATGCAGGAGCAGCGATCTGTGGGGAATCCGGAACATGAAGTTGAATGAGTTCATAGAGACGTCCATGCTTACGACTGATCCCAATAGTCTGTCCCGTCTGAGGGTCCTCAACAAACAACCATTAGCAGAAAATGTGACGATTAGACCAAGCTCACATAATTGACTAATAGAGATAAGGTTTAAGGTTAAAGCAGTGATATGATAAACTTGAGATAAAAATAACTGAGATGTGGAAACAGTCCCAACATGACTAACAGACATGAGAGAACCATCAGCAGTATGGATGGAGGGAAGATGAGTAGAGGGAGAGATAGAGGAAAATATAGTAGAGCTAGAAGTCATATGATTACAACAGGCGGAGTCAAAATACTAAAAAGAGTTACCTGGAGTCACAGACAAAGCAGTAGGAGAAGGTGTACCGGAGGTGGAGAGAAGCTGTTTGAACATGACCTCAACATCAGTTTGAGAAAAAATAGGGGCAGACGGAGCAGGAGACTTAGAGAAATCCTCAGAGGCAGCAGCAGTAGTGCGATTAAACTGACGATGAGAGCTCCCCCTAGAAGAGCCACCGTGAGAGGAGTGGCTAGTGGAAGATGACTGGGATGGATTGCGAAAATAATCTTGCTGCAGATGACCAGGACCAAGTTTGTTGTAATATCGGCAAGATCGGACAGGGCAATGAACTTAAATATGAGTAGAATGAAGGCCCCGATTCTGACAATAGATGCAAGCAGTGGTCCATTGGGTCGATGAGGGACGTGACTGAGGAGTGGTAAAAACAGAGTCCACATGATGAGTCTAGAGAGTACCAAGACGAGTCTCCTAAGATAACAGCTCAGAAATAGCCTATTCAGGAGTGGGCAATGGAAGGCGATGAAGAAGAGAAGCACGCACGGGCTCAAAAGAGGGAGTGAGAGCCATGAGAAAGTGGACCAACCGCTATTGATTACGATGTGTAGTGAATAAAGCAGCATTTTCTCGGTGAGGCCATGTCGGTTCTGAGAGAGCAAGCTGGTCCCAAACAGAATATATTTGAGAAAGAAAGTCATTAATAGACTGATTGGATTCTTGGTGCATGCGGTGAAGTTGACTCTGAAGTTAATACTGATGGGCAAGACCGGTAGTCTCGTATCGATCTCTCAA